TTCTTCTTTTCCCTCCCTGTAGTTTCCAGCTTTTTGACGTCCCACTGATTGATGATGAGCAGCCCTCATCAGGAGGAAGTGTCCCTCGACCTCTAATCACCAAAAATTCCATTCACTCCTCCCAAAATAACTCAATTCCCACTTTCGCAATTGAACCTTCTCCACTGGGACCATTTGACCCAAATAGCAAACCCATTTCTACACTGCTAAACCAGCCAGTTTAATCTAATCCCTAGGTGACTGAAATGTGAAGAGGCTAGACAGGTGGATCCTAACACTCAGAACTCCTCTTTGAAAATAGAATTTCAACATTTCAGTCTGTCGTTGTGTCGACGTAGAATTCAAAAACACGAGAAACAAGAGAAAAAACCACAAGTGCCCTTAAATCTTCCTGACAGGAGGGAAAATAGAGGGGTGATGGGCGGCTGTAGACGGTGGGAGGGGATCTAAAAACACGTTGAATCCTCGTGCACGTGTGGGCGTTAAAGAAGTCTTCGTCTTCTTGGCTTTTATTATTCATCTTGGTTTGTTCGCGTCAACTGGCGACATGGTACGACAGGTGGATCTAAATAAAGACTGGAGCAATGCCAGAGGTTTAGGGAGAAATCAACATGGCAACTAGCGAGTCTTCCACGCGTCGTTATCTACCAGGCACTTGCGACACTGTATGCTAGTACGTTTTTTCTCGCTTCAAATGACGAGACTGAATAGCTTGGATTTTTTTTTTAATTTGGGTGATTTATTTGTCTGCAGTTTGAGCGAGCCTAGAGGATCAAAGGGCTAGATTGAAACGCGGAAGGAAAAATATTCGCTAATTGAGAATTTATTACTTTCTCGAAGAATTGTATGGAGATCTATTTCGCTCTTCTCAATTCCTCCTATTTTTATGAAGAAAATTGTTTTTTGAAAATTCTCGTGACCTTCGAGTGAAGAACTTTAGAAATTATTTTAAAAAATTATTAGAATCTGAATGAATGATTTACTTTCATGAAAAAAATGGTAGTTTGAAATTTCTCTCACTTTCGAATAAAAAACTTTGGAAATTGTTAAACAAAAAGTTATGTAGGATCAAATGATTGAAGTAAAATTTGGGTGATATTTGTCTACAGTTTGAGCGAGTTGAGAGGATCAAATAGTAGATTGAAACGCGGAAGGAAAAATATTCGCTAATCGAGAATTTATTACTTTCTTGAAGAATTGTACGGAGATCTATTTCGCTCTTCTAAATTCCTCCTATTTTTATGAAGAAAATTGGGTTTTGAAAATTCTCGTGACCTTCGAATGAAGAACTTTAGAAATTGTTTTAAAAAAATATTAAAAATTGAATGAATGATTTACTTTCATGAAAAAAATGGTAGTTTGAAATTTCTCTCACTTTCGAATAAAAAACTTTGGAAATTGTTAAACAAAAAGTTATGTAGGATCAAATGATTGAAGTAAAATTTGGGTGATATTTGTCTACAGTTTGAGCGAGTTGAGAGGATCAAATAGTAGATTGAAACGCGGAAGGAAAAATATTTGCTAATTGAGAATTTATTACTTTCTTGAAGCACTGCACGAGGATCTATTTTCGTCTTCTGAACTGCGTCTACTTTCATAGAAAAATATAAAAATAAAAATACATAGTGAGAGGTATTTCGAAAATATCTCTCACTTTCGAATAAGAAACCCGTGAAATCGTTAAAAAAAAATTATCGAAAATGAAACGTTTCAAGTGAAGAGAATCATTATGGGTGACCATCGACCAACACTTTATTCATTCGTTCGCAAAGTAGAATCGATCAATCCTTCAGAAAACCTATTCATTCATTTATGATCGTTTAATGGCTATGAAATTTCCCTTTACTCAGAATTCTCTCACTCGATTTCCCTACTCTATAATCAATTTGTGCACCCACTCTTCGTAATTACGAAAAGTGCAAGTTATTATTTATTTGTTGACTGTCACTCTGAATTGTGTCAACAGATAAATTCTTTGAGTTCTCCACTGAAGTGAAGCAACCAGATAATTCCATTTCATCACGTATTGACTATTGTTTCAAGTGAATATAAAAAATTCATCAATAATATTTTAAAGTATTCGCAATCATGATATGATAAGAAAAATAGAATTATAAATATTATGATAATATTATCGAAATGAATCAAAACGGTCCTTCTATCCAAAAAAAATGTCGCCTCGAACTCGTCCATAAAAAATCAATTATTTATTTGAATCAATCAATCAACTGATTCATCTATTTTTCAATGATCAAAATTCACCGGGAATTTTTCGAGTTCTCCACGCACTAGAAACAAACGCAAAGTGAAGTGAAGCAATTAGATAATTTCATTTCACTACGTATTGACTATTGTTTCAAGTGAATATTAAAAATTCGTCAATAATATTTTAAAATAGTCATAATCATGATATAAGAAAAATAGAATTAGAAATATTATGATAATATTATCGAAATGAATGGAAACTGTCCTCCTATCCAAAAAAAAAATGTCGCCTCGAACTCGTCCATAAAAATTCAATTATTTACTAGAATCAATCAATCAACTGATTAATCGCCTGCCGCGCCTGCCGCGTTGGTTAAATAATTAAGAAAAAAAATAGAAAACAAATTTCTGTTTCTCAAATCCACGTACAACACCCAAAAAAATAAACAATTAGAAAAAAAAACTTGTACGGAAAAATAGTGAAGGAAAACCACAACAGCAATACACAACAACACAATCACACCAATAGCGACACCAAAAGTGTAGTGTAAGCTCTCACCACACACGCAAGAGAGTTAATATTCAATATTTTTCATCATAAATTTTCGTAATTGAATAATCATCGTAACTCGTGTCTCATATATTTTATTCATTTGTTAGTTAGAGAGAAAGAAAGAGAGAGCTCCTATCGATTGACATTTCGAAACCCTTCGGGTGGAATAATTTCACCCACAAAACGAGGCCTAATGCTAACATCTCTATTATTTATCACATTTTTCGTTTCATCGGGAAGGTTCTTAGGGGAAATTTCTCAATTGAATATTGTGTTAGGAGTTGAAATTTTTTAACTACTCGGAGAGTTATTTTTTATGGTATTTGTTGTTGATTAATGAACAATGGTTGATGCACATCCGGATAAACATTTGAAGAAAAGTTTTTCGTCAAAAATTTTATCAGTTAAAAAATTTTCTTTACATTTCTCACTCAATCCACTATAGAGAGAGAAAAATTCACTATTTTTCTCGCTCTTTTTGCCGATAGAGAGTGAAAAAGTTCTGAAAATTGAGTTCGCTCCACGATTACTTGACATGTTTGGTAATTTTCCTGCAAATTCAGTAGCAAAGCGGTAAAAAGGCTTAAGTCGATTTAGCTTTCACCTGAGTTTTTGCGGAATATCTTCAAGTCTAAGGGAGATAACGAAATTTTTGTAATGACCTTTTTTGTAGAGCAAACTGAATGCTATAGAAAAAGTCATGTTAAAAATTTTGATATCTCTCTTAGATTCTGAGATATTCATCGAAAACGATTCAAGTCGATTTGGCTCTCACCTGAGTTTTTGAGGAATATCTTCAAATCTAAGGGAGATAACGAAATTTTTGTAATGAGCTTTTTTGTAGAGCAAACTGAATGCTATAGAAAAGGTCATGTTAAAAATTTTGATATCTCTCTCAGATTCTGAGATATTCATCGAAAACTGGCGAATAGTGAAAATCGACTTGAACCGTTTTACCGCTTCGCTACTAAATTCATCCGCCTGGACTTCGCGGATTAATCTCATTTTATTCATGATTTTGTTACAGAATAACAATTCCAAAATTATCTTCAACCATTCTTCACAAACAAAAACAATCAATCTCGAACAGAAATATGTAATTGCTGATGAATAAAAACTAAAGGTAAATTCCAAAAAATTCGTTGATTAAATGGTTTCCATTCGTCACGATCATAAAACGAATAACCAAAAAAAAAACACGAAAAATAGTGAAGAAAAAATGAATCGTGAAAGTAAGTGAAAGATGATAAAAACCATTAATTGATTATTTCTCATGTCAACGATATTAATCAATGAATTATAACCACTACTCCAACGACTGATTAAAAAAAATCTATTCCAATGATAAAAGAAAAAAAATAGTGTGAATAGTAGAGACCAAAACTTAAAATAAAATAAAAACCAAAATGAAAAAACCAGAGAGAAAAAAAAACATCGGTAAACAAACAAGTGTCAAAAAATCTCTCAACAAAGTCAACCAATCCTCACGTAATTAAATTAAAAAGACCAAAAAAACGTAGAATTAAAAAAACCACACCCCAACAAAATTCGATCATCCTCGCAAAGAAAATTCAAAAAAAAAAAATTACGTGTATTATTAAAAATACTGAATAGTAATGCTTGAATATGTACTCATGAATTTTCGGGTTTCTCGAGGATCCCTCCCTATCCCCCGCATATATCGTTCAATTATCTATTTTTTTCTCGTTTTGTCTTTTGTCTTTTCATTCTCAATATTTTGTTCTTTTCTTTCTCCTTCCTTCTCCATCAACCCCATTCCCTCTCACTCCTCGATGTGCCTTCTCGCAAGTTCACCGAGATGCTGAAATATCATTTTCAATTTGCTGTAAACACATTTTGCTGTTTTTTTTTGTTTTAATTTTGAAATTTTCGTGAATGAATATTCTTTCATAAAAAAAAAAATGAAGAATGAAAAAACCACGCACTTCTAGTCTATTTTGATTTATTGATATTTCGACGTTACCGATTGTTTACCAAATCCCATGTGTTTCGTTCCGGTGGGTTTTCTATTTAATGAGTCATGTGAAATGAAAAGAAAAGTGAAAATTTCGCGAGAAATACAATTCAATCGTAATAATTTCCAACGGAAATTTTCTTGGCTTTAACGCTAATCTCAACCACATAATGAGTTATCTTTTCATTTCACGTGACTAGGAATTTTCTATCGCGAAATTTCGAATTTCGAACAACAATCTAATAATTAATTGGTAAAGACACTTACCCATACTGGCCGGGGAGGACTGTGGGGTATCCAGCTCGAATTCCAGCTGCGAATGGAAAAGCTGAAAAACAAAATTATGAATTAAACGAGAAAAACAAGTGGGAAATTGCCTCCGTCACGACATAATCAATGCATTTTTGATAATAAATTAGCAATGTTATTGCATTCTCATAAGTTATTGGATTTTTCTATCCTCATATGTTGTTGATGAAGGCAGCAATAATTATTCGAAGCAAATAAGAAATTATTTGTTTGAATATGGCAGAAATTAGGTACTACAAAATTTTACAAAAAATTCACAGTATTCGGAATTTATCAATCTACCACGGATGCGTTTTCTAACACTCCGTTGATCGCGCTATGAGCGTCGCACCGCACTTTTTTAATTTTTTTAAATGACACTGCAGTAAAGCCGCAAAAAAATTTGATATCTCATTTTGAAGTGTCTAGAAGCCCTATCAATGAAAATATCCTCCAAAAATACCATAAGTAATTATATTTTCAAATTTTTATTCTGAAACTCCTGGCCGTGTACGGTGTATAGAACGAATTTTCATAAAAACATGAGAACTTTGAGTTTGAATATGTAATGAAAGGTAACACTGAAGTGTCGCCGCGCTCATTGAGCGAGTGATCGAGTGTTATTAGAAAATCTATAGTTCCATATTTTTAAATATTTAAGTCATCATCACTAACACTCCGCACTTTTTAAATTTTTTTAAATGACACTGCAGTAAAGCTTCAAAAAAATTTGAAAAAATTTGATATCTCATTTTGAAGTGTCTAGAAGCCCTATCAATGAAAATATCCGCCAAAAATATCATAAGTAATTATATTTTCAAATTTTTATTCTGAAACTCCGGGCTGTGTACGGTGTAGAGGACAAATTTTCATAAAAACATGAGAACTCTGGGTTTGAATATATAAATGAAAGGTAACACTGAAGTGTCGCCGCGCTCATTGAGCGAGTGATCGAGTGTTATTAGAAAATCTATAGTTCCATATTTTTAAATATTTAAGTCATCATCACTAACACTCCGCACTTTTTAAATTTTTTTAAATGACACTGCAGTAAAGCTTCAACAAAATTTGAAAAAATTTGATATCTCATTTTGAAGTGTCTAGAAGCCCTATCAATGAAAATATCCTCCAAAAATACCATAAGTAATTATATTTTCAAATTTTTATTCTGAAACTCCTGGCCGTGTACGGTGTATAGAACGAATTTTCATAAAAACATGAGAACTTTGAGTTTGAATATGTAATGAAAGGTAACACTGAAGTGTCGCCGCGCTCATTGAGCGAGTGATCGAGGGTTATTAGAAAATCTATAGTTCCGTATTTTTAAATATTTAATTCATCATCAATTCGAAATTTAGATTATCATGTATTTTACTATTTTTAAATTTCGATATTAGTATATTAAACCTTGATCAATGTAAGTCGGAAATTCTTTTAATATTGAAGAATCGGAAGATTGATGGTCATCCCTGCTCATGATCGAACTCGGTGAAGATGGCGTTGCGAACAATATTTTAAATCACAATTGGATTCATTGAGACAATTATTTTTTCAGTTATCGTCAAAAAACGATCCGTCACATGCACACACAAATACATATTCGAACTTCTCAGACCAAAATTAGTTATCCTGACACCAAATAGTATACTTCGTCATTAGGCAGAAGAAAACTTTCCTGGCGAATATGAGTTTGCAGCCCCAGCCGAAGGCGGGCGTTCACTGTCAAAAATTTGGTGTTAAATTGACACCGATCGGTGTCCCAATGAGTCCAGACCTTTTTTGGTGTGCAGTTGCGGTGTTAAAATAACACCGCGCCATAGGACATCGCGCGTAAAATCTGGTGTTAATTCAACACTGAACGGTGTCCCAAGAAGTCCACACCGGATTTTTTACTGGGTCGCAATCATATGAGCTAGAAAAGTTTTTTTATGCCGTGTGAGGAACAATATTTGTTCTCATAACGGCTGAAAACACCGATTAACGATCGCGTACACTGAGAGAAAAATCTGAAGTTCGATTTACAATAAGAAAATAGTTGAGGCATTTTGGTGAACGATACGATTTTTTTGGTATGCGGCACATAACATTATAGTAACTTCACAAGCGTAATTTTTGCAAATCAAAATACAGTTAAACTAACCAAAGTTCAAAAGTAACCACGACAAATCGTGAGGAGAACTATAAAATAGTTGCAATGACTACATTCCATCGTAGTAATTACTTCTCCGGCCATAGTTACCGTAACCCATGAAACATTGTTGAGGACTTTTTGACTATAATTCGACGGTGATGGAATATAGTCAGAAGAATTATATTTTTCTCTCAGTGTAGCGTCCGTGAAGCGCTGCCTTACGGCCGTTATGACAAAATAGTACATTAGAGTACAAGAGCACAAATTTCGTTTTCAATGAATGTGTAGTTTACAGGCCGAGCCGAAGACGAGGTCTGTACACACATTTGTTGAAAACGAAATTTATTACCGAGCGCTCTATTAGTATATTTCGTAACGAGTGCAAAAAAGTGTTTTTTGGCGAATGGGAGGTTTATATCACGAGCCGAAGGCCTTCGGCTCGTGATATAATCCCACGGGCTAAAAAACATTTTTTCATGAGTTACGAACAATATTTTTCATCACAATGTGTTCACATTTTTCATCACAAAAAAGTTCACTTTTCGTCACAGCGTGATGAAAAATATTTTATGTCAAGTCGTGCAGAAGTCGAGTTTTGAGCAGGCTGCGCGAAACGCTGCGTGCGATAAACTCGAGTTATTGCACGGCGCGACATAAAATTCTAAATTTCGAATTTGACGAATAGAATGCTTTCATTCGAAAGCAAAAAACGAAACTTTCGATGCTCACAATATGTCACCTTTAACCTAAAAATACATATTTTAATGGTGGTTTCGAGTTGTGTAAATGAAATGCGTGGAAAGTGTTTGCAGTACGCACTAACGATTGCCCGATGAGTCAACTCTGATCCCTTGTATCGATAAAATTTATTGATTCCCCCATGGCCATAAAATATTGTTTACAATTCCCACAAAAATACTGCTATTCACTTTCTATTCCCCTCGTTCGTTAATTAGTCTTTGTAGATAATTTCTTTCAATTATGCATCTCACAAAGACAAAAACACGATCAATGATGTAAAAATCAACGATTATTTTCGTATGAGATAGATAGTTGATTTTACTCGCGTGAAATGTTTAAAGTTCTGTCCTTCAGCTTTTGTTTGCCATGAAATACAGCCAACAACGTGGCAATGCCGTTTTGTTAAAGCAATCACCAAGATCGTAAATATCCGATAGACAAAAAAACTAACAATTCACCGTCTACAAATTTCTCAGTGCAATTATTTTAGACTAGGAAGGCCGAACAGCGCTGAAAATATTTTGGCATTGATCCCATCTATTTACATACGCATTCGGGAATGATACGAATTTTGTCTCAGGAGGACATTCGAGATGGCTCAGGGGACTGCAAGTACGTCATTACACCCTTTATTGTCTGTTAATTCTGTGCTAAAAGGATAATTTTTTAGATACGGCTGTTCAAGGTGAGCCTAGTGTTTCAAAATTCGACAGTTATGAGCTGTTGGTAATTAACGAATCGATGAGGAGTTGAAAATTATGTGGAACGACAATTCCCGTCATTCTTTGGCTCACGTTCAACAACGAGAACTTGGAACAAGATAGAGTTCAGTGGGGAAATCGTAAAAGTTACAATAGAACGTGATAGATTCATCACCTAACACTGAGAGGAGAATGAACAGGTTCTCAAACAAGTCTTGTTTGAACTCACAAAAAGACAAATTAAAAATGACCGAAAAAAATGGTTTCACTTGAATTTGCCTCGAGAGAATGATTCGCCTTTTGAGGACAACATTTGATTGTTGTTAACCCTAGGACTTGATCACCTCTGTTTTTAAACCTGCAGAAGTATAAATTCATTTAAATAACCATTACATATAACCGTCTGTAGAGTTTAGAATTTATTTCAGAGTTCTATTTTCAAAATTTAAGTTATGTTTATACCACTTTAAACGAAAATGACGCGATGAAAAAAATATGAGAAATCCCTTTTGTAACATAATTCTTCGCGGGCAAATTTTTGTTGAAAAATACAAAAAAAAACTTTAATAAATTGAACCAATTCTTGAGATAAACCAAAAGTTTTTGCTTCACTTTCACCACAATTTTTGACCGATTTTCTTTGTCGTGCGTGTAAAAGGTCTTTGAAATCATTTTTATAAACTTCCAAATCTCGTGCATTATTCGTTCAACAATAAGCGTAAGAACAAAAAGTTCAATATGAGTCGAGCAATTTTTTTTCTCCACTCTTCAATGATCATAAATTAATAAAATAATAAATTTTTAGTCTTTAATATTTTCCGTGTTCCCGACACGTCGGGGTTATTATAATTGACGAAGCTCCTTGCATTTCAATAAGGAGTATAAAAAATTCATAAAGAACAATCGATCCTACCTTTCCCCTATTTAGCTATACTGACTTTACTTTGAAATTATTCTCGAATATTTGAGTTTCAAAATTTAGATGTGTATTTTGTCGACTTCGCACAACACCATTGTCACTGTGTTACTGTGTTATCATACCGATAGTTCCAGGTTGTAAACAGCGATAGGAGGAGTAGCACATCAGGTTTTTTTCCTTAATATTTCTGCTCGTGGGAATAGCGGATATTTCGGCGGTGAGGGAATTCATTATGTTTCGATTTTTCTCAACTAAATAGCTATAAAAAAAAGTTTCAGGGGCCACAAGGCTCCGTGGGAACGCATAATGTGAAAATAGCCGAGAAAAATGGGCAGATAAAAGTGAACGATGAAAGTTAACTCACTGGCTTGAAGATTGCCTCTTGGTTTTGCTCCTAATATCGCCAGATTTACATTAGCCTTTCTTCCATCTATTATTGGATTCGGATCCTTGCAGGCACGCTCAGCCGCCGGTCTGTCTCCCATAATTACCTGAAACATTGCAGATACAAAGAATTTATAGCAACGAGAAAAATTCCGAAATATTTCGTTTTCAAAGGAAATTCACTTTTTTTCCTTTTGAGTAAAGTAAATTTCCATTATAATTCCCGCAAACAAACTCGGCTTTCCAAAAAGAACACCACAACATCTGAAATTTGAAATAGAAAAGCAAAACCACAACTCCACAGAGAAAAAAAAGTTTCCTAGAAACAGTTGAATTTTAAGAAATTCTTGAAACAAATGGAATTTTGTCTGGAAATAAGAAAAAACGATTCTAATTTGCAGGGATTTTTCCTTCAATCTAGCATAATTGTATTTGAATTACGAAACATTTCCTCTCATTCTAAGAAAATCTTCATTCTGGAGTTTATAACTTTTGATTTCTTAAGATAAGAAACTTGGAATTCCTGAATGAAGAATATTCGAGTTCAGAAATTACGATCAATCTCGTTCTTGAATTGATGAGTATTCCTCTTGCAGAAATAATCTACTTATATCTATAAATCCTTCGTTACTCAGTGATTCTTGATGTGAGAATTGAACCATTCTTGATTCAAGACCTTCTCTCATTCACGATGAGTAGGTTTTTTTAATTAATCGATTTCTTATTCTTAGTACAATACCTACGAGGACCTTAGGTTCCTCAAAATCGGTAACTTGGGCAAAAACACAACTCCATAGAGACAAAAAGGTTTCGAATTTCCTAGGAATAGTTCATTTTTTAAAACTTCTGGAAACCTATTGAATTTTGTCTAGCAATGAGAGAAAGAAGTTCTCATTCTCAGGGATTTTTACTTCAATCTAGCATGATTGTATTTGAATTAAGGCACATTTCCTCTCATTCTATGAAAATGATTCTAAAATTTCATAACTTTTGGTTTCTTAAACCTAGTCTGGTCACTAAACGCGACCCTACGACTCTGGTCACCTCCGCGGGGATTCCCCGCCGCGTTATTTAGGCTCCAGCGTTGCCGAATTCACTCTACACTGCCCGAGTGCGAGTAGCAAGTTTCCGGAAACGTCGCGTCACGGGCAATTTCTTTTAACATGGGAGAAAATAAATCATCTGTTCGAAATAATTTGTGTTCTTTAGGAATTTTGAGAAATATGTTGTTCTATAAACTACTATAATTCTTTAGATACTTCAATTGACGAAGTCATTTTTTTTTTTATTTTTTCGGTTAGCCAGTGAATTTTAATTAAAGAAAAACGACGCGTGGTGGGGTTCCCTCATAGGGTGACCAATCTAGGGTTGAGGGAAAATGGAACTCCTGTCTATATGAATTTTTAGAATTGTGTTTTCTCCTACAATTATTACTTTATATCAATGAAATTACTTTATCGACTGGATCATTGCATTGTTGAGTCAATGAAGTAGTTTCAAAAATAAAAAATAATAATTGCAGGAGGAAATACAATTCTAAAAGTTAATAAGCACAGGGGTTCCGTTTCCCCTTAAGCAAGTTAGGATTCGTAAATCTAGTATTTTTGATTCTCATTTTGAGTTCCCAAATTATGATCAGTCTCGTTCTTGAATTCATGATTTTTCCTCTTCCATAACTAATCTACGTATATCTATTAATCCTTTATTACTCAGTAAATTTTCATTTAAGAATTCAATCATTCTTCATTCAAGAACTTGTCTTCATTCGACGTAAGTAGGATTTTCTTTCTGAAATTAAGTAACCTGTAATTAAGTAATTAGGTTTGTCAAAATCAGCAACGTGGTTCTAGAAACTGGAAACTATTTTTCTCTGCGTCTGAAGGAAACCGTTCTACAGTCCAAAAAAGCCAACACGAGTCATTAAAGAAGTGGCCGAAAACAATCCCGACAGCAAATACTGCAAGAAATCCCCACAAAACCTTTTTTTCTCTGATAAAAATCTGTGCGTAATTAATCGATTCACCACTTCACTAATGAAACAAAAGCCCAAAGCAGTTGAATAACTCCAAGCATGAAAACCATCAGAAGCAAAATATCCTTTCCATCCACAAAGACGAATGAAAAAGTAGGATAAAAGAAATTAGAATAAAAAGTATTGGTCTGTTGAGTGTGAAATAAAAGGGCAGAAATAAACCACTGCACACTTACAAATCCATATCCCCTACTTTTGCCAGTCTGTCTGTCAGTTATGACAACAGCCTCCTCGATGTCCCCGTACACATTGAAATGCTCCCTCAGACTCTTATCAGTTGTGTGATAAGGTAATCCACCGACAAACAACTTCGTCCAGGTGGTGTCCTTCTGCTGTGGTGTTACACCAGCAAGTGCACCAAGACTAGATACCAACTCCTCTGGACCAGTTGGACCTGCACCAACGGCGCTGAGTCCCGTGGCACCTGGCATCAGCATTTTCTTATTTGATAGAAGAATAATTGAATCAATGGATAATTCCAGTTTTATCTAGTTCTTCCTGATCCGCAGTCGTTCACTCAATTTATCACAGACTTCATCTGAACATTTGCCTGAAACACACACAAAAAATATTTTTTTTATTTGCAAATCCTGAAGAATTTGTAATGGCTCAATCGTCCTTTGAATGTCCCGCGTCAATTGATCTGGACGAGTGAAAGAATTTATTAATTTCTCTAATTACTCAACTGAACTTGCTCTCTTGCTTCCCGACCTTTACCGTGCACGGTTAGTTTACTCATTACTCTTTATATTGTCGAAAAATTAATTCAGTAGCGAAGTGGTAAACCAGTTTAAGTCGAATCATCTCCCAGCTGAGTTTTTGAGGAATATTTCCGAATCTAACGGAGATAGCGAAATTTTTGTCATTACATTTGTTGCAGCTCTCAATCGGCTCTACGAAAAAGGTTATAACAAAAATTTCGCTATCTCCCTTAGATTCCGAGCTGTTTATTGAAAAATGGTCAATAGTCAAAATTGACTTATACCGTTTTACCACTTCGCTACCGAATTGTATTTGGAAGCATTGAGCAAATTATATTGATTTATCAATTCACATAATAGTTTCTCCCGTTAAGATTTAAGGAATATAAATTTTTATAGTGAGATAGCGTAATATTAACAATACAAAATAAGAATTTATTTGGGACAAAAGTATCAAAAATGAACTAGAATATTGTGACCTCCTCATTTGGAATATTCCAATAAATAATTAAGGTAAATTATATAATGTTCCTTTCAACTTATTTCACGAAATAAAATATTAATTACCGAAGTAAACACATAAATTATTACAAATTGAGCTTTTACGAATTTTTGCTTTCGAAAGGAAGTTTTGTAATCGTTCAAAGTTAAGGTGTTTCAAAATTGGTGATAGTACAATGACACGAGAAAATATAAGAAGACAATAGTGAAATAATAATTTTTGAAAAAGAGAATGCATTAGCAATCAAGTTGCTAATTTATTAGCAACAATAACTACATTCATCTGTAAAAAAAATTCAAATGTCCACTTGTTTTCTCTGTCCAAGGGAAGTCTCTATGAAAATTTTCTCATTCATTTTCTCAACTTCTTTTCGTTCTTCTATTGAATTATTTTTTCCCTGTTGATTCTAGAGATTGAGAATGTTGATTGAAGAATGAAATCCTTCGTCTTCACAAGGTCGCCATGAAGAGAGTATTTTGTATTTTACTTTCCGTTTGGATCTAGATTCTTTTCATATCAATTTTTTGTCCCAAATTTTTAATTTAAGTTTCAATAGGCAACAGGAGGGGCTTCAATGGAAGTTGGGGGGGTTCATATTCGTTGAATAATTTCAATACAGATGCAAATGCATATTTTGAACGACAACCGGTGGTCTCAAGACTGCCAGGTGTTTGCACGCAGTCGGGAGAGGTTTTTCCCGCTCTCCATCGAGCGAACCTGCTTCGACCAGTTATGCATTAGACAAATAGGGGAGGCAGAAGCGAGTATATTTATTTCAACTGTCAAACTTTTTTCAAGAATTTGCTCTTCTGCTCTTTAATTCCAGTATTCACACACATGTTTCTGAGTAAATATTTATTTTTCATTTCGATGATCAATCGATTGATGGCGAACTGAAAGATAGCAGGGTATCAGTATCAAAAATGAGAATGAGTCCATCGAAATGTTTTGGGAAAATCGCCTGGAAAATAATAATAATCAAAATATTCGGTGAATTTTTATGACGACAGAAAATACAATTCAAAGTTGAGAATGAATTCAGACTGAGGTTTGGAAAATTCGCCGCGAATTTATCAATTATTGGAATCAATGCAATAACTTGCGTTATAAATCTAAACACGAGAAAAAATGAAAATTTAAATTAAATAAATAAAAAATTCATTATTTTCATTAATTTAAAATAATTAATTAATTTTTGAATTTTAATTTTTATATATGTTGACAAAAAAAAGACTAAAGTAGAAGCTATAAATCTGAAAATTCGTCACATAATTGGTATTACTTTGTAGCACTTTTGGGCGCAATTTCAGCTGAATCGATCAACTAGTTTTCGAAATACAGCAATTTTTAAAAAATCTTTTATCCTCAATATCTTGAAAACTACGTGACTTGAAATAAACATCTGAGATTCTAGCTGCTAATTAGTATTATTGGGTCACACTTGTGTGTAAAATTTTGTGTCGGTCGATTCAAAACATCCTGGTATAGAGCAGTTCATTGAAAAATCTTTTTTTCCAAAGTCACATATCGCTATTTTATCGATTATGTTCGTCTCTGGAGACTTAAAATACATTTAGAAATATTTTTGGATTGACAATAAGTGAATCGAAAATGGAATGATTTGGCTTCAGCATTTTTAAAATTTCTCTTTCTTCACTGTTCCTCTAAGTTTTTGCATATTATCGATAAATCAATCACAAAACGGTTATCAGCATTTGTTCAAATACGTGCACTCCCTCAAGGAAACCACCATTAACCTGAAAACCCGAAAAGTTATAAATCCCCATGGCCGAAAATCATCAGGAAAATATCAAGGACAATGAGCCGCACAAAACTCGCCGCAGAATTAGAAATGAAACTATTGTTTACACAATTGTGAGTTATTGCTGGACAGTCCATGCGCAATACCCCTATCGCATGTGCACCCCAAGGGCAGTGCATCGTTGAAATGTTTTTCGAAATTGCCTTTTTCCGAGAATCATAATGGATAGAAAAAAATTGGGGCAAAACGACTCCCTCTCGTCGAATTGGGCGTATTTGTTGCAATAATTTTTATGAAGCTGAAACTAGCGAAAGATTCGACAGCAGAAGATTTGTCTTAGGTGAATCTAGGGGTGTACAAATGTTTTTTAAATGCGAAAGAGTTTGTATATTACTTAAAAATATTTGTATATATGATTATTTGACTGCTCTACACCTAAATATCCCCTAAATTGAATTTCTCGCTGACGAATATTCTGCTAGTTTCAGCTTCATATAATTTTTTCGCCCCAGGGAGCGCAAAGTGCACATTTCGGTAGGCGGAAAAAATAGATGAGAAAAAAAATAGCCCAGACACCCAAAACTTGCTAAAACCCATCCAGCTTGAAAATTTCCCTTGGTCTACTTTTTCCGTGGTGTATTTTTTCCGGGAATCGTAGGTGAGTACTTCCCGCCCTAGGGTGGAAAGTTTTCACTTTCCTCCCGCTCATCAGAAGTCAAAATACAAAATTTTCTCTGCAGACGTGTTAAAAAATAGAGCAGGGAAAATATAACTTTACGCACTTGATATATGATAATATATTTTCATCACTTGGGCGTAAAATGGATTTTTACGCACGTTCCGCGTGCGCGAAATCCCCGTTTTCACAAATTGTGATGAAAAATATCGTTCGATACTCATGGAAAAAGTGTTTTTTGGCTCGTAGGATCCAACCTCCAACGAACGAAAAACACTTTTCCGCGCTTTTATCGAAATATACTATTTTGACACTGCTGCTACGTTCACCTCATGTCGAAAAGTGCCTTTTCGTTTACTTCTAAACGAAAAAGAGACAGTTCGGCCACTCGCTGAAAGTAACATAACTGTCAAAATAGTATATTTCATAACGAGTGCGGAAAAGAGTTTTTTGAGAAACTCTTTTCGAGTATCGAACGATATTTTTCATCACAATGTGTGGAAAAGGGACGTTTTAGGCACGCGAATACGATAACTTCAGTTTTTCATCACGAGAAGGGCCAATTGGAGCTATGGTGGCTCGTTTGCATCAGATTATTCCGTTAATCATGAGATTTACGAAAAAATGTTATAGCACAAAAGTTGTGTACTTTTTCATAACGAATATTTTTTATCTGAATTATTATTCTCTATCTCAAACCGTTTTCCCTGTAGCGTGCGCAGAGTGCGTCGCGGGCCGCGCGCACTCGTCGCCTGCTTTCAGAGGCGATATCTCGATAACTATAAGAGATAGAAAGAAAAGTTATAACAGAAAATATATGTATTTTTTGACGAGGAACATTTTTTGTTCGAAACTTTTTCCCGTAACTTCAACCGTTTTTGAGTAATGACGCTATAAACAATTAAAATGTTATGAATAAACACGATTAATCACGTTTCGCACAAACCGCTATTAGATTCGCAATCAGCGATTTCGAGAACATAAAATCAAATGATGAAACTCTGCTGAGAATGACTATGTACTAAACTATCCATGAAGTTTCGATTTTTTCTAACTGTAGCTTCCTTATTTACGGAGATATTCGTGCTTCAAATATGACGTAGTGAATGACGTGTCGTTGTACGCTACCTCGTGCCGCCCGCCACCCCCTCCATTGCATACCGCGTGTCCACGAATTTACCGATTGCGTGAACCTTCATAACGTATTCCCGTACATAATTGAAATACACAATAATTACCGAGAACCAAATGTGTTGAATTTACCGCCATGAAGATGAGATATTTGTCAATTCATTTTGAATACCTGACTTGTTAACCACTTTTGATTATACGACGTTCGGTGAAAATAATTCTCATACGGAAAAATAGATGTTCTGAAAATTATATATTTTATATATGGAATTGGCTTGATTTATATATAACAGTTATGTAAAATATAGGGGAGGGTGGGGTAAAATGGACACTTTAGACTTTTCAAAAATTATTCATAACTCAGAAACAAATTTATCAATTGAGCTCAGTTTAGGCTCGTCACAAAGGGAAAGAATTCTTCTTTGTATTGAAAAAAAAATCAAATTTTATCAACATTTCAACCCCTCATTAACATTTTTAAAAAAGTTAAGTGTCCATTTTACCCCAAGCTCCCCTATATGAAATATATATAAATTTATACTTTTATTTTGGGAAAATCCTCCATAAAAACGAAGTAGGTTTAACCCTTCGGATCAACCCCCATGAAAAATATATAAAAAATATGTATAATATAGGCCAATTTAATATATTCGTCGAATGTATATAAGATTTATATAAAATATAAATTTATGTTTCATACACAAATCTTATATCTTATAATATTATTATTATTTCGCCGTTAGGAGAACGGCGGCGATATACAGTAGTATACATATAT